TATGGCTCCCCAATGGAATGCTTCTCTTGTATTTATTGATGAGGGTAAATGCTGCCCAGAAGCACCCCGGAAATTGAATTTGGGTGAAGTGTTTCGGGAATTTTTTCCCGGTTTATATTCACCCCAAAGGTTTCCAACTCTTTGGCCCTTCCCCGTGCGGGATGGACAAGGGACCCAAAGCGGGACTGAAAAAAGAACCAAAAAAGTGGAATTTTCTGAAGGGCCAATTTCCATCCCCTGACCTAAATCCAGGGAGCATTTCACTTGCTAAAGCCCAAAATAAAGGGAAAATCCCCCAAGAACAAGCAGGAACTAAAAGAATTTTTGCGGGCCGGGCCCCAGAGCATAACCCGGGGGAAATGAAACACAGGTTTATGGTTTGGGGTTTTTTTTTTTTTTTTTTTTTTTCCCAGGACTCCCGGGATTTGAAACCCAAGTTTTAAAAAAGGGGAAATTTTGATTTTGTTTTATTATTCTGCCCCCATTATTTTTTGGTCCCAAGTCGGCAGTTAATTCACATCTTGTTTGTTTCATTTCAAATCCATTGTGGTGGTGTAATAGAGCCAAAAATGTTAGAATTGTGTCCATGTCCCAATATTTATGGAGCTGACTGTAAATAAAGCATTATCCCTCTATAGTGTGTACTTGTCTCAATTAGGAGCACCAAGTGTCCATTTCTGTCTGCTGGCTTTGTTCCTTTGCTATCAGAAAACTTCTGAGACATTTTCCTGGATCACCAGGAGACAAAATGGATGACAGAGGAGGGAGCTCTGGCAGATTGACAGCCTCAGTCTCTGTTCCTGTGTGTCTCTTCCTCCAATCACTCTCATACCTTTCTTCACTGAGCTCTGCAGTGTGATTTCAGCTCTCTGCCTCCTTTTTTCTGAACTCTCAGAAAACCTATAAAATTCTGCATTTGAACTGATGTGGAGAAGAGTCAGTGCAGATAAACGAGGTACAACTTATGTAGTAGGATTTTTGTCATCTCTGTGTATTACCTGAGGCCAGTCACTTCACTGGGTATATGGGAGGGTGTACAACCACCATTGGTAAATTAGACAGTGACTAGTTTCACTGTCCTCTAATACAGAATACAATACATGCTGTTTGTGGTATATGTGACATGTAAACTATTGGCCAAGAAAGGACACATTTCTAGCAATGGACCCAGACTTGTCAGCATAGTGTCAATGAGAGCAAACAATAGCCTGAGCTTTGTGCAGAAAGCACACAAACCTCTCCAAAGAACCCCAAAATTCATAGCAGAACATCGGAGGGTCTGTGTGCTTTTCCAAACAAAAGAGCTATAAATTATGTCATCTACCAACAATTTTTAAAACCTTTTTCCTTTGTAAATTTCAGCGCTCTCTGCAGCGCTTTCTATACATCACAGAGACTCCCTTTCAGAGGCAGGATTACAACACCCCCTGACATGTTATTAAAATAAATTTTAATGTTTCAATTCAAGTATTAAAAAAAAATCACTGCTGCTCACCAAATAAATTTTCAAAACACATTTTTACATTGGTACACGTTCCCAATGGCAGTGCCCACCCCAATGCTGTTATTGACACTCACTTGCCTATTAGTCCATAAAATGGGCATTTTTTAATTTAACAGATTCTGCTTCCATTCATCTCAATGGGTTCAGGTTTCAGCATGTGAACTTCTTTAACACCTTCATATCTGCTATAGGCCGGGTGGGACACTCACTGTTGTTACTGGGCGTCATATGACCTTGTGTCAAAAGCAGACATTCATGCAGCTGTGGAGCCAAGCAGCAGCACGATCTGTTACCGGCTGTGTCCACAGGACACACCTGATGACATATCACTGCACCGGCCTGTTGCCAGTGTCATGTGACCCGCTGTGACCAATCACAGAAGATCACATGTTGATTGTATATACAATGGATGGCTTCCTGTCATGCCATTCATTGTATACAATTGTGTTGTTGGCTGTGATTGATCAAAGTAGTCACATGGTACAGACAGGGCCAATAACAGCCCATCTGTATCATGTGATGAGCTTTGCCCAATCACAGCTAATCGCAACAAAAGACTGAATGAATCAGTTCAGGGGCGAACTGACAACTGATGGGGCCCCCGGCAATAGGGGATTATGGGGCCCCTGTGTCCTTGCCCAAACTCAAAAAAGCCGATGAAAAAGGTACCAGGGGCATCTCATGGGGTCCCCTACTGACCCGGGCCCCCGGGCAGTGCACAAGTTTCCAAATAGTCAGTCCACCCCTGAATCAGTTTCATTCAGTAACAATGATTGCAAATATCAATTAAATACATTGGTATTACCAATCATAATGTGTAAAAAAGAAAAAGAAAATCCTGATCACTTGCCCAGAGTAGTTCAATGTTACTATGGTAACACTGTATTGCTTTGGTCACAGTGTGTGTTGAAAAAAAATAGTAAAAAAGAGAAAAAAATATGTAATAAACAATTATAAAAAAAATAGAAAAAAAAAAAAATAATTATTTTAATTTTTTTTTACACATACTATCACCATTCAGTGTCCATGATCACTGCCACACTAGTAATATAAACACACTGTACTGGACTGGTGACATATGGAAAAAAAAATGTTTGTTTGTTTTTATAATTTCTACATTCTCCAAAAAATTGTACCAAAAAGTGAAACCTCCAAAAAACTCACCATGCCTCTTACTAAACACCTTGGACTGTATATTTCCAAAAATGAGTAATTTGGGGGGTATTTGTACTATGTTGACATTTTTGGGCCTCAAGAAATGACATTGTCCTTCAGAACATTGATTGATCGATTGTCAGATATATATCATGGTTTTTGGACTCTATAACTTTCCTACAGACTAAAAATAATATACTCTAATTTGGGGTATGTTCACCAAAGAAGTGTAGCAGAATACATTTGGACCTAAATTTATGAAGAAATGTTATTTATTTTGCAAAACTGTATAACAAAAAAAAAGAAAAGGGATTTTTTTTTTCAAAAGTTTAATTTGTTTTTGTTTATTTAGCAAAAAATAAAAAACTCAGTGGTGATTAAATACCACCAAAAGAAAGCTTTATTTATGTGAAAAAGGATAAAAATGTTTTAAGGGTACAGTGTTGTATGATCACGCAATTGTCATTCAAAGTGCGAGAACATTGAAAGCTGAAAATTGATCTGGGCAGGAAGGGGGGTAAAAGTGCCCGGTATGGAAGTGGTAGTTCACCGAATCCCTGATGAACTGAAGCTATGACAGTTCAGATCATTGTGATCTACAGATGTACAGTATACAGTATATTTGGAATTGAATCTCATACATAAACTGTCCACCACCAAAATGTATTTGCCTTCTCTACTGTAAGCTTCCTATAAATCTAATATGATTCTTACCTTGTAATAATCAGTAAAATCCATATTAATCAATTCTCCATAACTATGAGATGAAATGTCATGAAATACATCAAGCTGGGAAGCACTCTTTATACAGTACCACCATGGGGTGCAACAGAAAATAAACCTGTAAAGAGAAATAAAAAGTTTAGCTACGGATCAGAGATACGTAGACGATGTATGACTTTACATGGAAGACTCTTACTTGGGACTTCTTTTCCTCCAGCAATGTATGAACCTCAGACAGGAGCCGAGTGTCATTGTAATCTGTCATGGAGCCAGCTGTAAAAACCCAAATGATGGACTCGGCGGGGGAAATCTCCAGAGCTCTCTTCAGCCCATAGAGGGTGGACTGATTGCAGTTTATTAGATGGTTATAGTAATTATTAGCAGTGTCATCCCAATAGTTTCTTGTTATGCTTTGTAAAAAAAACACTCTTGTCATCGGTGATAGTTTCATTGGTTCTGAAAGAAAAAAGAATATTTTATTGAAAAGTAGAAATTGAATGCTCAAAATAAAGTTAAAAAATACTAATAGTAGCTTAAGAAATAATAGAACAAAACCGCCCACCAAAGTCTTGATCTCCTCAGCTTAGCAATGTCATTCATATCCAAATGTATTTGCTTTGATTTCTTTGTATGTATGGATTGCAGGGTCTGTGACCAACATGTAGTGACAATTTCATGTCAATAGCACCTTTAGAAAATATATTTACTGAGAAAAATGGTGACGTGTTCAAGACTTATTTTAACCGCTGTATCAAAGCATTCAATTCTGCAATAGAGACTGTATGTATCCTCCACCTAAGGGTGTCCTGTCAGTGAGACTGTAGGATCATGGTGACCCGTAATCAGCTAAATGAGCCAGAGGTGAACAATCACAATGCTGTAATAACTCCGGGCAACCAAAATACAACACAGCTCACTCAAGCTTAGCAAGAAGCATAACAGTATCCCCGGGTGTAAAGGACATTCTGTAAGTCATTGTGACTATTAAATCAGTCATATATTGATTCATACAGGAAGCCTATACTTGGGCTAGGAATGTAGTAGCAGCAAAGCCATGGATACAGATGAGCCAATGTCCTATACTGAGCACACAATCCTGTAAGTGGGGGGAGCTGGTCATAGTGCTACAAATGGTAAAGAGACAGCGCTCCGCATCACCAGATCTTCCACAACAGGCTCATGAAGGGTGTGTGAAACCACAGCACCATAAACCACAGGAGACATGTTTTGCTCTGTAGGCTGTGCTGTGCATTACATACCCCTGACCTCTGCACTCTGTAGGATGTGCTACACATATTACATACCCTGACCTCTGCACTCTGTAGGATGTGCTACATATTACATACCCCTGACCTCTGCACTCTGTAGGATGTGCTACATATTACATACCCCTGACCTCTGCACTCTGTAGGATGTGCTGAGCATTACATACCCCTGACCTCTGCACTCTGTATGATGTGCTACATATTACATACCCCTGACCTCTGCACTCTGTAGGCTGTGCTGTGCATTACATACCCCTGACCTCTTCACTCTGTAGGATGTGCTATGTATTACATACTTCTGACCAAAAATTTCTTTTGTTTCAACTGTTTAAGTGATTTTAAAACTTTAGTTTATTTTTTTATTAAAATAATAAACATTTTATACTTACCTGCTCTGTGAAATGGTATTACACAGAGCAGCCCTGATCCTCCTGTTTTGGGGTCTCCCATCAGCACTCCTGGCTCCTGACCCCACTGAGTGCTTCCATAGGAAGAGACTTCCTATCGTGGACACCCGAGCATGCCCGATTCCAAGCCAGGCTATTTGCATCTATTCAGACTCACAGTCCTGGTTGGCCCTGCCCCCCACTCTCTGCCCTCAGCCAATCCTGTGAGACAGGAGAGAGGAGAGAAGAGCGGCTGCAGATGTGCACAGTGCTGGATGGAGATGGGGATCAGGTGATTATTTAGGAGGGGCTGCGGGGGAGTTACTAATAAAAGGTGTAATACCTTAATACAGAGAATGCATTAAAGTATAAAAAATCTTTTACCTGTACATCCTCCTGAATGTTTGCTTAGTACCCCCCCCCCCCCCCCCAGCTCTTTAAAGTTCCCCCAATGGAAGGCTCAGGCAGTGTGTTGGCTGTGTGTCTATAATCTGTTTGCAGAAAATCAGATGGAAGGGAAGAGTTTCATTATTTCTAAAGTCACAGTTTGTCTTGAAGTTTTTAGGGTCCCAGCAATGACCTGAGAAATCTGTTACATTGGTGGGTCAGTGGAACATCTATGTCCTTCTGTACTCATCCACCATACCGCCATATAAGTATGGGAAGTGATGTCACTTCATAACCCCTCCCAGCTATGACATCAGAGAGCCCATCAAGCTGAGTGAGATATCAGGCAGAGAAGGACTTAGACATCCCACCGATCATTGTATATAGGGGGAAGAATGTGCAGCAATTCAGGGGGGAGAGAAGAAAAGTGAGTGTTGGTTCAGAAACAGAAAGTGAAAACCTGTATATTGGTGCCGGGATGGAGGGGGAAGAGGTGAGCATCAGTGCAGCGCCAGAGAGTGAAAGAACATCTCAGGTTAAGAGCAGATGGACACATTGGGGTTGATTTACTAAAACTGGAGAGTGCAAAATCTGGGTTAGCTGTGCATGAGAGCCAATCAGCTTCTCACTTCAGCTTGTTCAATTCAGCTTTGACATATTAACCTGGAAGCTGATTGGTTTCTATGCAGAGCTGCACCAGATTTCCCACCCTCCAGTTTTAGTAAATCAACCCCTTTGTGAAATTCCCCTCAATGGTCAGTGTGACTGTTCTCACAGACAGATACCACTGAAATCATTTCTACAAAAATGAAACATTGCTTAGAAATTCAAATGCTACAACAAAACAACTAAAGTAGTGATGTTTGTATTACCTTCATAGTCCAGGATTACTGAGGTATATTGGCGTGTGACACAGGGGAATCTGGAGGATACATAATTCACAGCTCTCTCAATGTAGTAGGTATAACCCCAATACATGAAATACGCATCCATCATCACAGTAAGGGGGGTCCCTCTGCAACACAAATCCATCAGATAAATCAATGTTCTATTCATATTTTATAAATCACATTCAGGATCATCACTGGTAACATTGTAACAAAATCTCTCCTTCTATTTTGGTGCTGAATGTGATAAATGTATGTTGTTGGAGCCTTGAGTCTAGTCAGGATGGCCATGACATGTTCTCTTTAACTGTTTAGACAGTTAAATATCAATTTTTCCCCATTTTCAACTCTACTAGTCAAAGGTTTGTTAAAAAAGGGCATGGGGTGGGCATTGTCCTTTGTACCAATGACAGCATGTTTGGACGTATAGTGATGCAAAAATGTTTTTGTCCGACATAGTTTTCATGGGGTGTAGGGATCTTTTGGAATCTGGAAGCCCCCTTATATACAGTGGGGATCGAAAGTTTGGGCACCACAGCTAAAAATTTGTATTAATGTGCATAAAGAAGCCAAGGAAAGATGGAAAAATCTCCAAAAGGCATCAAATTACAGATTAGACATTCTTATAATATGTCAACAAAAGTTAGATTTTATTTTTATCATTTACACTTTCAAAAGAACAGAAAACAAAAAAAATGGCATCTGCAAAGGTTTGGGCCCCCTGCAGAATTTATAGCATGCACTGCCCCCTTTGCCAAGCTGAGACCTGCCAGTGTCATGGATTGTTCTCAATCATTGTCTGGGAAGACCAGGTGATGTCAATCTCAAAGGTTTTAAATGCCCAGACTCATCTGACCTTGCC